ATTCGTTTCCTGCTTTAAGACAACACCCAAACCCGAATATGAAGCATTATAATAAACAATGAAATCTTCACATTCCACTAGGAAGGTCAAGATTGGCGCTATAGTTAAAAGATTCTTGAGCTTTTGGAAGCTCTCTATAGATTTATCTTACCACTCGAAAGGTACCTTCTTTAGGGTACACCTAGCCAAGCGCATAGCAATATAGAAGGAAGTTCTTCACAAACCTATGATAATAGCTAGCAAAACCCACAAAACTTCTCACATTTATCGCAGAGCTACGACAAATCCAATTTTTAATTGCCTCAATCTTTTGGGGAACTACCATCACCCTTTCCTTTGAAACCACATACCCAAGGAAAGCAACCAAAGGCATCTTGAATTCACACTTACAAATTTAGCATAAAATTTTGGTCCCAGGATACCTAAAACAATATGAGGATGGTTTGCATGTTCCTTCTCTCCCTTGGAGTAAATTAAGATATCGTCTATAAACTCAATAACAAATGAATCTAGGTATAGCTTAAACACCCAAGTATCAAACTCAAAAGTCATGCATGTGCATAAGTCAACACAAACAATACCACCAAGAACCCAAAATGCCGATACCGGTCCTAAAAGTTGTCTTAGGTATAGTCTTTAAGTTTAATCTTCAATTGGTGGTACCATGACCTCAAATCAATTTTAGAAAAGACAAACGCACCATGAAACTAGTAAAACAGTCATCTATGCAAGGCAAGAGATACTTATTTTGGATGATAACCTTATTCAACTATCGGTAATCTATATATCCTTATAGTACTATATTTTTTCTTCACAAACAAGACATGAGCACCCCAAAGAGAAGCCCTAGGACAAATAAACCCTTTATCAAGCGATTCCTAAAGTTGAGTCTTAACCTCTCTCAACTCTATTAGAACCATGTGATAGGGAGAAATAGAGATTGGGTGAGTACGCGGCTACAAGTCAATACATAAGTTTATGTCCCTGTCTGGAGGCATACCAGGAATGTTTATATGAAACACCTATGGAAACTCAGAAACAACAGGGATAGACTCAATCAAAAGAGATGTTGCTCTAACATCCCAAATATGAGCCAAATAGGCAAAACCACCCTACCCGAATAGTTTCCTATCCCGAAGGAATAATACGATCTTTAATCGATTAGTCTTGTACACCCCTTCCCACTCAAACCTTTCCCTCTACGCGATCTATATAGTCATTGTCTTAGCATTATAGTTTAGGAGAGAAAGAAGAGGGGGCCAGCCATGTCATACCCAAGATCACATCAAAGTCAAGCATGTCAAATATGACTATAGCTACCCGAGTATGTAGGCCCATAAACAACACAAAAGAATCATGAAATACATGGGTTACTACAACAGACTCACTAAAAGGGGTAGCAACATAAATAGGGGAATCAATGGTATCACAAATCAAATCAAAACCCAGAGCAAATGTCACAGATACCTAAGAATAACTGGAACTCAGATCTAACAACACAATAGCCATCCGACGTAGACAAAAATAATACATTTGATAACAACATCATATGCCTCCACCTATGGCCTTCCTAGAAATGCGTAACACTCAGCTCTGTCATTATTATGTCCAACTCTCCTTCCGATTACGCCACTCATCTCCCTTCATTACCATTACCTTGGCCTCTTTGACCGTCCTTATTACCTCATTTCTACCCTCTAGATATCGTCTACCATGATTACCTACATTCATAGGGACCATTACACTAGTCTACAACTGAACATGACCAATTGCATGTCTGCAAGGGCATTCCTTATTAAAATTCCCAAACACACCATAATGGGAACAACTATGGTCAAGTGAAGGACATTAACCCCTAGTAGCAGTGGGCATAGCTGACTGAATAGGACGACATGAATACACTTTCTTACTTAGACCTCTTAAGTACAAACCATTGTACGTACCCACATTCTTGGACTTATTCGCCAATGCCTTGTCTTGCCCAACCTATCAAACTCCTTCTACCTTTTTCACAAATTTTGTAACCTCATTGAAACCCTTTCCCGGTAAGGTCATATGTAGAGACAAAACCTAGAATAAAGAATTTAAACCATTAAGAAATACTCGAATCTTCTCCTCCTCAGTGCTCACTAGTTATGTAGCATATTGACATAGGACATGGAACATAGCCTCATAAGCATCCACAGTCATGTTACCCTTCTCAAGACTCATAAACTCATCATTCTTCCTTTCTCTCAAGGTACAAGGCAAATACTTCTCCAAAAACAAGGCACAAAATTGTCCCTAAGTCAATTGGGGCAAGACCGACGAATGAAATTCAACATAGGCTATCCACCACTGCTTTGCCTCACCTTGAAGCTAGAATGTAATAAATTAAACCCTATCTTATGGAGAAACCCAACTTATAAAGTCTCTTGTATCAATCCAAGATGAACTCGAACACATCCCCCCTTAAAACCATGAAACACTAGAGGCTTAAGCTTCAAGAACTTAGTCAGCATCTCATGTTCTATACTAGTCATCACATGGCCAAGCAATGGGAAAAACAAATTTCTAGCTCTCTTATCCTTATCTACCTTAGGAACAGTAGCACCAACCATCTAAATGAGTGAAACTTGAGTAGAGCGGTGCCAATACCTGCCAACCCACTCAAAAAAGTAAGTACCCACTGAACAGTTCCGACATCCATAGAGGGAAGACCTGTAATCCCTGCATGTGTCCTCACATTAAGCTCAACAGCATCCTTGATCTAAATCTAAACCTTTTGCTCCACAATAAAATCCTGAGTTGGGGTGGGGTAACATCCCTTAATGTATCAACATTCTAAGCTCCACCTTTGGCGGGTATTTCCCTTTCTCTACCTCTGCCCCTTTGAAATATTAATTAAAAATTGACAAATAGATATACACAAAAATAAACCGTATAACTTTTCATCTTCATTATTATTATTATTAATACTAATAATAATAATAATAATAATGATAATAACATTAAAAATAGCAAAGTTAAATGAGTAAAAGAAATGCTAATTGAGCTTTCTTAAGTTGGTTAGGAGAGTTTCATAATTTAATTTTTTCTGAACAAAAGGAATTCAAAATATTTGGAAACCATTCAAAATCTTGTATTGATATGATTATCTCTCTTGATGAAATCTTTCAAGATAATTAACCTTCCTTCTTTATTTTGATGAACTTGTACCAAACTAATGTGAACATCCATGTGATGAATCTTGCAAAAATATATCTATAATCTCTGTGATGAATTTTTGAAGAATATATGTATGATCTTTATCAAAATAAAGACCATGTGATGACATTATTAAATACATGATGATGAAAAAGATATATATATAAAAAAAAAAAAAGAGAAAAAAAACTATTCTTATAAAAAAGAAAGAATGAGAAAATGAATATGAACATTCAACATATCTAAAGATAATTGTTATTTATAGATGGTGTAAATCATAAGAATAGTTAGAAAGGAGTTTAAGAAACATGTTACTTAAGTAGGGAATGTAAATAGATGGAGGTTATTTTGTAACTTATTAGATATAAATTAGAATAGTAAATATGATTGAATTTTTTAATTAATAAACAAATTATTTAATGAAAAAAAATGAAGAAAAAAACCAAAAAAAGAAAGAGAAAAAAAAACAAATAGAAATGGAGGCCATAGAGAGGTGTCACATTACCTTATCTATTTTTCTCCTTTATATATGTGTGTGTGTGATTGCTTAATTTTTCCTCTTCATTTTCAGCATTATTCTTTTATTTTGTTGCTTCAGACGAATTCAATTATATTATCCTCAAAACCTTACTTGTAAATAAACAAGCTTAATATCACAAATTAAAAAGAAATAGTATTATGATGCTAAATTGAAAATGACATCCCTAAAATTATTCCTATATTTTTACAACACGTGTAAAATTGAAAATAATATCTCTAAAATTATTAACACATATTTTACTACATATTCACTCCAATCTAATTCAAAGATCGTAGAAAGAAAAATTTGTTGGGAGTGTCACTCTAAATGGGTCCTATAATGTACTATTCGAATTTAGTTGAAGCTTCAACCTGGATATATAGACATAAAATGAGAAATTTCAAAAAAATAAAAATTAAAGATTCAATCTTGAACTAGTAATTATAATTTTAGTATAACGGTTTATTTCTTGTGGACGTAACTAATTATGAATCCAATCTTGAATTACTATTTTCATCCACATCCAAACGTTAATTACTGCGAAAGCGAAAACTCTAAGCTAGCGTTTGGCCATAGATTTCCAAATATTCTTGGCAAATATTATTTGGGTGAAAATTCACCATGTGTTTGACAATAGTATTTGTGAAATATATTTCACTTTTTTGAAAAATATGATTTATACCCATAAGTTTTTAAAACTATCAAAACTAACCATAAGTTTGTATTACAAGTCAATTGGATCTTCGTTGCAACAAATAACAAGTAGTGTCCATGACACT